TACATGAACGAACTTATTTATCACATTCAGGACAAAAGAAAACTTGTTTGTCAGCTGCGGTCAGTCGTACGCAATCAACCACCGTTGAACCAGCTTTGAAGTAAGTTACAAAATAAATGCGTTAGTAATGATAAACGCACGAATGGCGTAATTACCCACATTTGACAATTCACAAATAATCTGTTTTTCTGTTTTTTTCGGAATATTTATCAATAAAAAGTGATATTAACATATACAGTAGACTCTTGCTAATTCGGTCACTCTTTGCACAGTAAGATGCCAGATTAGAGATAAAAGACGTCAGTTTAATTTTTTATTAAATTTAATGTTACATGTTTACTGTCTGTAGTACACATGTATTTAAAAACTAAATAAGAGAGAAGTGGGCTATTTGTATACAGTAAAAACAAAACATTTAAAATACAATACAGCACAGCTAAAATGCTGTATCTTCTACTCAGTGTAATCACTTCAAAAAATGTTACGGAAATTTGTTAGGTTTAACGAAGATGCTCGTCGAGGGTACGTAATTGCTTTACCGGCATTACATCGGTTATGCATGTGTCGGTGGTTGCATTTTGTACTGTATGGAAATGGCAACTTCGGCGCAAACAGTATGAGAAATCTTCGTTCGCTCTGCCTCTATAGTATTCTTTTCCTCTTCACTTTCATGCACACTTTTCATAAAATTTCGTCATCTTTTTTCTTCATATGTTAATTAAAGCCTGGTTGGTCTACTCCACAATATTCCTCATTCACAGTGATGTCCTCTTCAACTTTTTCTGCTCCTGGAAGCTTGTGGAACGTATCAACGAACACAGCATTCGTTGATACGTTTCGCAAGCTTTCGGAAATGATTCTGAATTGACTAACTCACTATCACTCGATGCAGACTTCAACTCAGTGTCAATCGAAGGCCATGCTTTTTTCAACACTTCACTATTGCATTACTCTCCACAATGTTCCATGCTGTAGTGGTTTGGAAATCATCATAAAGCCGGATGCACACATGCGGCGCGGCAAGGAAAAGCGGTGACGCAAGCGCATCTTCGCCGCGCGGCAGCGCAACCACACAAGCGGCAATCCGCTTACATTTCGGCGCATGCGTTCAGTATTCAAGATGGCGAACGATATCCACGTGTTTATACACTGTCCCTATCCACGTGTTTACAAATTTTGTTTGGCTACCTGTACTTGTGTGTGCACAGTATGTCACTATCCTAGGCTATTTTCTTTTCTGATGTACACTTGGATTAAAAGTTGTCTAATATTTTAAACTTTAAACAAATGTTAGTTTAATTAATGTAGAAATTCATTTTACATTAATTAAACTAACATTTGTTTAAAGTTTAAAATATTAGACAACTTTTAATCCAAGTGTACATCAGAAAAGAAAATAGCCTAGGATAGTGACATACTGTGCACACACAAGTACAGGTAGCCCTCAGTTTATCCCGGTTCAATTTACGCCAATTCACAATAATGCCGCTACACAATTCGCCGCTTTGCTGTGTAATTCCCCGATTTTCCCTATGCTAGATTTGACTAGATTTTGTCCAGATCCAGATTTGACCAATCCTAGCAAGACACGAGTCCACTATGACACCACATGTTGTGGCAGAATCGTGGCTCATTGGGATTAGTCAGATCTAGACCAATAGAGAACATTCCACAAACCGTTAGATTTGAATGAGCTGTGGACCAAACATAGAGCTACAGAAGAATGACAAAGAAGAAACTCCAAGAGTTATGAAAACAGCCAATCTAAAGTGTATCCCTTCAACTATGGAAGGTTTGACAGATGAACTTTGTGAGTTAGACAAATTGGGAGTGAAGTGCAAATGTAAAAAGGAGCATCATCGCATCCATTCGACCATATTCCGAAATTCTTAATGAAAGAAAACAAAAATGTAAACAATTAAAGATGGATACTTTTTTATGAAAAAATGTAAGAGATCCGAAACTAAAATTTTTTAATAAAAACATTTTTCACTTTATTTTATGATAAAATACATTTTAAAAATTAAATTTATTTGTATTTTGTATTATATTGTATTAATAAACAAAATGATTAGCTTATTTTTCACTTATGTAGAACCTAACCCTATACCTCACTGTAAATATGGATTCATTTTACGCTGATTCGATTTGCACCAGATTTTGTAGGAACGGAACTGTGACGTAAACCAAGGGCTACCTGTACATGCTTGTGTATTCTCTTCACTAATGGTGTATTTGAAGATGCTTCTTGTATGATAGTACTTAGCCTTAACAGAAGTGGCTACTGAGAAAGCCTTCTGAAATTCTGAAAGCAACCTCAAAAAAATTTAAAATTTTTAATGTTGATAATATTATCCAATGATACGAGTTTCAGAGTCAATCATTCAATTTCAACTGAAATTTGCTTTGAGAATTTTGTAGCAAAGAAAGAAAAATTTATAGTGTCTAAGTAATATGTCTTAGATTCAGACTTATATTTTTATTTTTGATATGAATGGTAATTAGCTGTCATTCTTGCTTTTGATACACTAAATATCAGAATACAAAGTGAATTTTAATTGTTTTTGAAACTGGATACAAGATTCCCAAAATCATAGATTAACCTGTTGCACGTTGTTCCCGAAAATATTCATGTTGACCTTGTTGACCTGCGTGGGCGATCCCAAATATTTTCATGTTTACATCGGAACGTTTTTTAAACATAAGATGACGCTACTTGTATGTTGTTATGAAATAAGTGACTCATATCAGAAGAACCGCTATGTTATCTAGTTTTTGCTCAGCAGGTTATCAAAATTCTAGGCATTGTTCTTTGTTAGAAATCACAAAGAAAATCAAACCACTTCTTCTCTGTCTTTCGACTTGGCAGCAAGTAGTAGACACAGTGCTCTAAATAAGTCAGAAGTTATCGAATATTTACTCATTTTAGGTTCTGATGAATCTGAATTTTCAGACAGCAACGATGTTTACATACCAGATCAAAATGTAAGTGATGACAGTGGTGATTTTGATCCTGATTTACCATCTACGAGTGGATATAGAGGCAGATCACATGACAGTACTCGAAGTAATACTGTTAAATGTCTGCGATTTATGGATTTGTACAAATTTCAGACATCCTCAAGTGAACAGTTTTACGGGACCATCAGGAATATTATGTAATCTACGGAGTGATGCTACACCGTTTGACTGTTTCAGTATATTTTTCAATGATGAACTCGTCGACAAGATTGTTTCAGAAACGAACAGGTATGGTGATAGTTTGCTAAACTGTGACGATTTACGAAAGAATAGTCAGATAAAAAACTGGAAACCAATGACAAATTCAGAAATTAGAGAATTTCTAGGACTTATAATGGTCACAAGCATAATTAGAAAACCATGCCTAAGCATGTATTTTACAATCGAAGATCTTTTTTCGACACCCTTTTTTTTTCAAGTGCGATGTCGAGCAACCGCTTTCAACTTTTATTGTCCTGTCTGCATTTTAGAGACAATAATCAAGCTTCAGGTGGTGATGATCAACTGCATAAATTACACAGTATTATCGATCATTTACACCACAAGTTCAAAAATGCATATCTCCCAGAGGAAAATATCTGTGTAGACGAAAGTCTTATGCTATGGAAAGGGAGATTGGGATTTAGGCAATACATACCGAACAAGCGTGCTCGTTTTGGAGTGAAAAGCTTTGAAATTTGTGACTCACAAATGATATGTTTGGGACTTTATAGTTTACACTGGAGCTATTACTGAATACGGAAATTTTGAAGGTGGGCAGAGAGAGAAAGTTGTGCTAACCTTATTAGAACCGTTGTTGGGTAAATATCACAAGGTATTTTTAGATAGCCTCACCGACCTTAGCGAAAACGCTTCTAGACAAAAAAAAACTTATGTATGTGGAACTGTAAATAAAAATGGGATAGGAATGCCACGTAATTTTCTTGATCATAAATTAAAAGAAGGGGAATTTATCACCTGTCAGAAAGATGAATTGTCTGTGTTCTGCTGGAAAGACAAAAGAGATGTGGCAATTCTAAGTACGATGAGTGACAATGAGTTCTCTGATTCAGGTAAACGTGACAGATCTGGGGAAGTTATAAGGAAACCAAATTGTATTTTGGATTATAATTGCAATATGGATGGTATTGATCTCTGTGATGGAGTAATACACAATTATCCGTGCATGAGAAAAACAGTAAAATGGTACAAAAAAGTGTTTTTTCATATGATGGATATTACATTATATAATGCTTGTATTTTGTATCGAAAAATACAAAAAAACAAATATCATTTCTAGATTTTCGTTTTGTATATCTGTAATCAGAGAAGTGATAGAGAAGTATCACACAAGCAGACACCTAGCCCACCGTGGTCGACCATCACATGAAAATCCGTTACGTTTATCCAAACGGCATTTTCCTAGTCTCGTACCACCTACAGAGAAAAAAAAAAAGCATCCATCCAGAGTATGTAAAGTATGTTCGGCTAACAAAAAACATGCAGAATCATGTTATCAATGTGTACAGTATAATGTTCCACTGTGTGTTGTACCTTGTTTCAAGATATATCACACTAAAATTAACTTTTAAAATAAAATTTTTTGTTTTTTTACATTTCCTAATATGTCTATTTTGTGTGTAAGAAATATAAAGTAATTTGGAATAATACGATAGCCACAATTATTATTTTTCTAAAATGTGTGATCGCGTTAGGCTTAACATCAAAAAATATTCAACGTGGAGCGACATGCGACAGAGAAAATATTCAACATCGAATACGTTAAAAGAATTTTTTAATTTTTAAGTCATTTCTTTACTGCTTTCACCTGTATTTTATGTAAGTGCAAGTTCCAATGTTTAATAATAATATTTCATAAAAGTTTTAAATTTAACATCTCTTAAAATTTGGCTAGCATATAATTTCATATAATATTTATTCATAAAAGTACAATTTAAACTAGATGGTCTATTTTCATTATTACATGATTATTAAAAAATAAATACCTGTTGAACAGCTAAAGTACTATCCATTTCTTCAAATGACTCTTCTGGCCAATGACAGAAATTCTAAAGATATATAATAATGTGTCAGATTTACATAAATATCAAATATTTATTCAAATTATATAAATTAATGATACAGTAGAACCTTGATTAGCCAAGGTAATATGGACTGATGCTACCTCAGATAACCAAACTCAAATGAAATAGATAGCCACAGCCATTTCAGATAAAAAAATTACAAAAATAAAAAGAAATCATATGGTATCATTATTGAAGCCTCTTTTCATCCCTTAATGAATTTAATCATATAAATCAAAAACATTTTTTACATCATTTATTCAATTACTTTTCAAAAACTGGAAGAATTCATGTAAATGAAGACCAACACCTGAAACCAGCACAGTTTTTGTTTGTTCTATTTTCTATGAATTTTACCTGAAGATGTCTGTTACAGACAAAAACATTTGTAAAATTCATAAATTGTTTAATTAAAATTATTAAAATGGAACAGATATAACAATGAGTAAAAGTTTCTTCTTCTAATAGTGAGACTAGTGATCTTTATCAAATCTTTCATAATTATCTGCAATAAACAGAATAAAATTAAACAATTTGGACACTGGAGCCATAAGAATGAAGAAGGATTAGATAATACTAATCCAAAATGCATTGTTAAATAGGTGAATGAAGTGAATCATTTTAATCTTGGTCTCTATTTATTGCAGATAATTATGATAAAGATTACTAGTCTCACTATTAGAAAAAGAAACTTTTATTCATTAGTAAAATTACTATGTTGTATTACATATGTTAATCTTGAACAGGATTATTGTAAAACTAGCAGGTAAGCCCAGCATTGCCTGAGCAAGAAATAAGAAATATTAAAATTAGCTAATTTCATACTTCAACCCTTCTATTGCATTATATTATAGAATTTGGTTTGCATAACTATGAAGGTTATGTTACATAGCTGATCTTACCCATTTTCATTGTGTACAAGAATTGGGCCCTTCTCTTCCAAGGCAAATTAGAGAATTTTTAGATGGTCAAAAAATATGTTCAATTTCCCACAAAATATGCAAAAAACCACATCTAAAATAGTACAGTAGAAGCAGAGTTCTTCAGGGTAATCTTTAACCCTTAATCCTCTCCCTCACAGGAGGGAATTTCCAAAAATCTCTTCTTAGTGTGCATTCTCATAGCATACCCTAACTGTATACCAAATTTCAACATTTAACTCCTAACTGTTTGGACTCTGTGCTTATTGTTATTATCAACCCATCTCAATTATATTATAAGATATATAGAGTAACAGCTTTTCCAGCAACAATGATTCCAAATATTAATACAAATATTTAGTTTTATTTTATTTATTTATTTTATTCTGTATAATTTCATGATTATTGTACACTTTTATCTATATCCGTAATTTACAATGTTTTTGCTTTATTTGTTTTTCAAATTTTTATATTTTAAATAATTCTTGTTTGGAACACTATATTTAAACCTTAAAGAATTCTATTTAAAATTGTCTGATCCTGATGGCTATACAGATGTAATGTTAGGTAAATAAATAACTTTTTGCTGGAAAAGGCTATTATTTTGTGTTAATTTGTACTGGTTTTGGATATTGGTCTTCATTTACATCATTTATTATATAGCATTAGTTTTAGGAATAAAAATATGTATAGTGTTATTATATTTTAATATGAATGGTTTGTCTGAAACTAAAGTTAAATGATAAAAGGTAATAGAAATCAATCATTTTGTAATATAAGTTATTTTCAACTTTTAAAAAGCCTGCAATTTTTGTTTTGTAATAGTTCCTCTCTTTTTTGCTACAACATTCTGCAGTCACTTCAAAATCATTTTGCAAGAGAAGTCTATAGCAAATGAAGGATCTGTCCCTCCCATCCACCCAGCCTCAATGTAAGCCTGGCCAAAATCACAATAGGCAGGGGAAAAGGCTCTCTTACTATCCACAGAATGGAAAGTTTAAAAAAAGTCATCTCAGCATCAGTCTCTCAAGTATAGTCAACATTGAAAGTAATTCAGCACTCAATGAATTCATGGCAAAGCTTTTATGTATTACTAGCTTACCTGTCGCACATTGCTGCGATCTCAGAGGAAAGGAAATTCAAGCAAACTCGTTATGATAAAATTCAATTTACATTTTATTATTTTTATTGAAACTTATTATTATTATTCATTTTCATCGGGAAAACATTTCAAAGTGTCGTTTCAATTCTATTTATTTATTGGAGTGCTTTGTGGATACACGATATTTTTTGTTTTTCCGTCTGGTGCGTACACGAATAAATCGGAAGGTTTTTCGACGCGTGAGCCGGCCACATACAGTTGTCCATGCGAGAAGCACGGATTCTCCAAATTTAGCCCACACACTTGCAGCGATTGTCAGAAGTGCGATATTCCCCATTTATATATATATTTTTTAATCCTTTATAATTTTAATTATTTAATTGCTCCTTCCTCTCTTCCTTGGCATGTTGTGAAATTTCTGATAGTTGGATAATAAACCGTTTTATTGTAATTTGTCTTTTTAAATTATTTTGAGTCGATATTAAAATTTGGAAAAGGGGGGATACCTAGATCGGTAAAATACGCGAATTTCTTCCTACAACTTCGGTTGTTGTTCGGGGTACAGTTAAGGTTTTAACGAAGTTCGAGCGAATACATAATTAGCAAAAAAAAGTTGAAATAAAGTGATTAAACAAAAATTATTATAAATATCGTAAATAACAGTTCACAAATGCATATATAGAGATATTTTTTGAAGGGGGGAAATGGTCTTCACAATTTGAAATCGATCGGACACACTGTGCTCTAATGCTCGTGTAAACGCGCGCCATCTATCGTAGGATAAATGTACTTCGCGGGAGTGTATTAAAAAATTAAAAAAACTTTCCAAAGTTTTATGGCAATCGTACTATGCCACAAACCTTCGCCAGAGTATATTAAACAACTTCCCAAAGTTTCACGGCAATCGGATAAACGGTGTGGTAATGCATGAAGGACAGACACACACACACACACATTCATTTTTATATATATAGATAAGAAAAGTAGCATAGGATGACTCAACCAGTAAATGACTAGCTACATGCATTATTTGACACAATAACTTAGAATTTCAGAGAATGACTACCAAAGTCATTCACTGAAATTCTAAGTTAATGTGTCATATCATGCCAGTGAATGAACAAAATTAATGGATGACATTATGTATTAGAAAAAAACTGTACATAGCTTCCTACCAATGGTTGATAGGAAAAGGTTCTTGGATAATGGTCATCTACTGGGTTTTTCTTCTTCACAAGATCATGCTTAATTTCAACACACATTTTTTAGATTTTGTCATCTTTCCATAAAACAATACTATATACTTTAAGCATACATGCAAGTTACTTCTCATTAATTAGGCTAGGTAGGTTAGGTTGGTTAGGTTACTTGGTTACATCTCAACATATAATCATTTGTGAAAATCTGTTGCAGTGCTCAAAATGTCAACATTTTCTAACAACTAATTTAACAAAAATAATTACTTTGTGAGGAACTTTTATTAATAAATCAGTGTTTATGAGGATCAAGAATTTTTTCAAAGTTATTTACTTTTACAAGAACTATTACTGTGACATTTTATGTTCTTTAAGCAACATTTGCACTTTTTAAAAATCAATACAGTATCTTTTACAGTGACACATTATAAACCCTTACTTATGTCCAGATGTTAACATGAATGCTGAGCAAAGTGTGAAGTTGAGTGTCCTGAATGTTAATAAAGTTACTCTCAGAAATTGTAAATTCATTACAAGCATAAAGTCAATCAAGAAGATCCTTGTTTCTTAACTGATAGAGACCTGATGGATTAATGCTTGTAACAACAGCTAAAACATTTCTGAGAGCTGCATGTCCCCGATCAACATCAGGCATCCTAACTAAAACATTCAAACCAATTTCAACCTGTCCAAGTAACCTAATCTAACCAGAATGCATCGTGGTCAAATATCATGAAACCCATGACACTTTGTGGTCGTTTTTTGCACTCAATGAGCAATTTTGGTCTTTGGGCCTGACGTATATAAAATTACTTGTCCTGATTGACTGATTCATCATTGCCCAGAGCAAACCGCTGAACCTAGGGGTGAAATTTGTACAAAAAACTTACTACTCACCACACCTATATAACAATCACATACACTGAACCAATTTACGGTGTGGTACGATTGAGCCCAGAAGGGGTTGGATATACGAAATCGTAATATCACCGGTTTAACATCGAAATCCGCGAGTAATATAAAATGGGAGAGCGGAATAAAAATATCAAATATTTTAATGGATTTTTTTAACTCCCATCAACTATACAGAACTATCGTAAAAACGTACCAGTAAATTCTTATTGGTTGGGTTAAGTTATAAATCTACTCGTTATTCACATAATCGGCCAAATATCTAGCAGGCGGGCGGCTAACAGCCCAGAACCAGTCCCGGATAGAATTGGAAGCGTTATCGACCCAAGCATCGACCCAAGGTGATTCCACCGGCTAAACCGGGTGAGGATGGTGCTCTGTAAAGCGCATGCGCAAATCTGGCTGTTTGGAATCTGACAATACAGAGATTCCACTCCGCCACTAATATTCGAATATACAATAGCAATCTTTTTCTTTTTTCCACGTGTAGTATAGAAATTTGTAATAAGATACATAATGCGGTTATAATAAAATATTGTATGATTATTTTCATAAAATTAAAATTAATATATATTTATTTTTATAAAATACAAGATAAGTGGCGCTTCCACCGCTTCTAATGATGGCACGCCACTGCTGTGGATGGTTATATCTAAGATTAAATATGCCTGGAAGTAGAGAATTGCTTGGAGGTCCAGGTAGCATAACTGGCAATGCATCAACACAGTAAGCAGAGTTGCAGGTTTGAGTCCTGCACATACTTACAGGATAGAGGTGTATCGATTGGTAGTCTGCTATTAAGAACTTACATGAAATGACAGAAAACTGGAAAATACAATCTTACTGGATCTTTTG